GATTAAATATATTGATTTTATAAATAAATAACTATTCAATATAATTATATTAAATATAAATAAAAATATATAATTAAAATTAATAAAATACTTGTAATTTCAAAAGTTTTAATTTTATATATTAATTATTATAAATCATATTTGTGAACATATTTATTTTCATGTGAACATTAAAAAAAAAAATTATGTTTACAAAAATCATTAAATTTTTTTTGAATTTTCAATATTGGTGCTGACTCAAGAGGAATTTTAAATTGAACCACCTTTTAATACTATTTAATTACTGTTGAATTAAAAAAAGCAAAAGATATTTAGAGGGCTAACAAATATTAGCTCATTATACCCCCCTGGGATTTTTATTTACCCACCCAGGGTTAGTCATTTGACACAGTAAAACTTACAAAAAATGCATAATTAGATTTTTGACAGTTGATAATATAACCTGGCAAAAATCTAATTATGTATTTTTTGTAAGTTTTACTGTATCAAATGACTAACTCTGGGTAGATAAATAAAAATCCCAGGGGGTATAATGAGCCAATATTTGTCAGCCCCATAACAATTTAGATATTTTTTTTATTTTTTTACACTTAGAAATTTTGTTTTAGTATTAAAAATTAAGTGAAAAAAGCTTTACCCATATGAATATTGACAAAAACATTAGTCTAGGTTCATAAAAATTGGTTAGCAAGTACTGTTCTAAGGTAATTTGGTTTAACAAGCTAAAGTTTGAAGTTTTTTGAGTTGGATTGTATATAATATTATAGAACCTACTTTAAAAAATAATTCATTTGCTTTTATATCAAAGGTTTGAGATAGATTGGTAAGAATATAATATAATATTATATTTTGTAATATTAATAGCTTTTGCAAAGCTTATTACACAATAAATATTCAATTATATTAATAGATTTTTTATTAATATTTTATAAAAACTATCAAAAATCATAAATTGCTATTTAAAAAAACAATTTTGTAGCAAGATAATGATTACAAATATAACATTGTATATTGGTATAAAAATAATTAGACAAAGGTTTTTAATTAGTATTCTTGTTCTCTAAACTTAATTTTTTAAATATTTGTAGATTAAGGTTTACTATCAACTTGGGAACAATTTGGGTAAATTTCAAGTAAAAAAGATTCTTGGGGCAAAATTTAAATAGCCAAGTTGAATATCAAAGTGAGGATCTATATCATCAGATCTATCTCAAGACCAGAACAAATTCAAGATGCTATCAAATACAAGATAGTTGTACTATGTTGTAGCAGGCATAAAATATTAAAGTAGAAAAAAATATTAATTTTTTATTTGTAAAAAAAATTTTTTTGTTTTATGTTTGTGTTGTGTTTAAAACAAGCAAAAATAATACAACCTATAATTTTGAATAAAGCTCATACTTGTAAAAGATTTGTTTCATTAATAATTTTTAAGTTTTTAATATATAACTATTATACTATTTATGAGTAAAATAAAAAAATAAGTAAAAGGATATAACTAGAATTGCACAAAATAATACAATTAAACTAAAAATTTTTTTTTAATATATTATTTATGATTGCCAATATATTTTTAATTCTGAGTTTGTACATTTAACATTTTTGATTGGTTGTATCTAAGAAGCATAACCTGGCAAACTTTATCATATTTGATTGGTCATATCTAAAACATGAAAAAATTATATAATTTATAATAAATATTGTCATATATTCAACATTATCTGTATATAAATATATGGGGTTGAGTTAATAAAAATCAAGCAAATATTTTTTAATAAGTTTTTTTAAAACTTTAAATAAGGATAACTTAACAAAACTTAATCAAATTTAATAAATTTTTTTTTAATTTAATTCTACAAGTTTGTAAAAATTATTTAAAAAAATTATTAAATTTTGTTAAGTTATTCTTGTTTAAAGTTATAAAAAAATTTTTTTATAAAAAATTTGCTTGATTTTTATTGACTCACCTCATATTATTAAGAACAAGAGGAAACGGTGATATTACACAATTGATTTTACATATGGTGTAAAACACATAAAAAAATTATTTTACAATACTTGGTCAGACTTGATCAGTTAGCTAATACATATTAAGATTATAATCCAACACTATTTTTTAATAATAAAAAATGATGTTGGATTATAATCAAAATATGTACTAGCTGACTAATCAAGTCTGATCAAGTATTGTAAAGTAATTTTTTTATGTGTTTTACTTCGTGTATAAAATTAGTTGTATAATATCACCATTTCCTCCTATTATTATTGAGTGTAAGTGTATATTTCAGTATTTCATATTGATAAAATCTGTATGCAAGTAATACAATGCATAAAAACAAAGTATATTAGACACTATTAAAACTATATCACATAAATACTTGCTTTATATTAGATAAATGTGATCGTGATCTATTTTATTTCTCTTTATCTTCTAAACCATCTAATTTCATGCTTGATCTAAAAACTGGATTACAATATTCTTGATAATTGTCAATTTTGTAAATATTGCGACATTTTGATTATCTGCATAATTGTCAAATTTGTAACTATTGTAACATTTTCGATCAATTTGTGTGATTGTCAAATCTGCATAAATTATTATATATATTCACAAATTATCTGTTTGTGATTTTTAATAATCAATTTTTGCAGTTCTTATACATATATACTTAATCTTCTATTTCTTTTTATCTATATATATTAACTAGGAATGGGAAAAAAACATTTTAAATAGTTTTTTTAAGATAGTATCCTTTTTGGTACGGTACAGTTTTGGGTAAAGTACAGTATATTTATAGCATATCTATATATATCTAGTAATTTTGTATACCTAGTAGGTACAGAATATAATATATATTAATTTAAGAACTGTACCTAATAAAAATATTTATTGTCTGGGTACAATACAGTTAATATTTTAAATATATGCTAAATTTATAATTTGTGTATCTTACAAAAAAATTATTTTTTTGGGTATGGTACGGTACAGTTTGTAGTTAAAATATATTATTATTTTTTTTAGAGTATAATTTAGAATATATATAAAGTATATACTATATAATACTGTATTAAGATTATATCTATTATATATTATATATATTATGTATATTATTTTATAAATTTAAGCAATAGCAAAAAATAAACTTTATTAAATTTATTTTTTTTACAAATTCTAATTAATACAAAAATTAAGTATTTAATTAAGCAAATAATAATTTTTGTTATTTAAAATAATAAAAAAGCAATTATTAGCAAATTTTTTAATAATACTAATTAGAATCTAATTTTTTTTGCTTTTCTTTTAATTCAATTTCTTTAGCAAGCAATTCCAATCTAATTCTTTCATTTTTTAATCTTTTGCTTTCAATTGCTATCAATGATTCTTGTTTCTTTATTTCAAGTGCAGCTTTTCTTTCTTTAATAGAAATTTCTATTTCTTTTTCCTTTAAAACAAATTCTCTTTCTTCTTTTAAAAATCCAGAATTTGAACCTTCAGCATAACTTGATGAAGTAGCTGTTGTTTTTGTTTTTTTTTTAATAGGTACAGTTCTTTGAGCACCTTTTTGTTTTTTAGAACTAACAACTTTTTTACCTTAATTATTAAAAATTAATAATTTAATAATTTAATAAAATTATTAATAAAATTAATTAATAATTAAAAATTAAAATATTAATAATAAACTTACCTTTACATTTATTTGCATTATATTTTCTGTGTTATACTAGAATCTTTATTTGTTTTAGAAATAGAAAATTTATTATGAATTCCAATTCTTTTATAAGCTAGCAAGTCAAAATTTTAACCCCTTTAAAAAATTTAAAATTAGTAAATTTTTGTTTTAAATTAAAATAAAAATTAATAATACTTACTTTATAATTGCTACTCTAAGTTTTAATTTTGTCCCTTTTTTATTTACAGATGCATGTGCAGACTCAGCAATATTAGTATCAAATGGAGTAGAATTCCATAAATTAATTGGCATTTTAGTATAAGCTTGCGTTAATAATGCTAAAATCCAAGGAGTTTTATAAAATGAAATCCAATCTATAAAAATTATAAAATTTTTAAATTAATTTAAAATTAGTAAATTTTAAAAA